CATCCAAACGACCCTAAATAAATCATGTGCAACATTTGAGTTGAATAATCTTGAGAACTAGTTTTTTTATTCAATTATTACATCGTATTTTTTTCACTAATTTTGAGCACTCATTAAATGGGTAGAGCATGTGGCTACAGAGGAGCAGAGTTCGAAATCCGGCAAAAAATCCGGTTGGCCCAATCGTAAAGACTTCTAAAAATGGAGTCAGTAGTCAACAAATAAAGTACAGTATTTTTATTGGGACTGTAGGATCCCCTCCAAATTTTAGAAGATCTCAAACGCTAATAGTACAAAGTACAGTACTTTTATTGGGAGTGTAGGATCCCCTGCAGATTTAGAAGATCTCAAACGCTAATAGTACAAAGTACGGTATTTTTATTGGGAGTGGAGGATCCCTCGCATATTTAGAAGATCTCAAACACTTTTGGAAGCCGCCATGGAAGCGAAGAGAGAAGCAGAAGAAAAAATAACAAAACAGTATACAAATATAAACAAATGTTACATAGAGTCGAACAAAAACAAAAAGCTGTACTTTCCCTCCCTATTTTATCCTATTATACATATGGCAACTTTCCTATCTTGTATACATTTTGGGAGCATGATCAACAAGTACGCGTCAATATGGCGCAAAATAACCACCACATGAAGTAGGGTTCCACAACACCTATTATGGAATCGCAACATGTGATGATTCTTTTGGCTATATTCAGACGGCGATTTATTGTCATTGCTCCCCTCCCTGCCTCTAACAAAGACCCTGCATGGAGAGAAAAGGAGAAACAATACAACGAAGGATTTAGTTTAACAGTCATGATCTAACAATGACATAATGAAAGGAAATGAGATCTAAAATAATACGCAGTCTCATCATTACCACTGCACCCGAAAATAAAGCATGGGATAGGAGGACGAAGAGGCGGATGGGGTTGATTTTCGGAGTTTCATATTGAGAAGATGGAAGAAAGGGTTCTTTTCAGGGATTGAGAGGAGGAGGAACGAACAGCAGCAGGAGATGGTTTTCGGAGTTTCATATTGAGAAGATGGAAGAAAGGGTTCTTTTCAGGGATCAGAGCACGGTCTCTCCTTCACTGATTAACGAATTTATAGATTGACTCGTAATTACTTTTACTTTCCCTCCCTTCACATTTATTGAAAATTACAGTCCCTACCACTGCCTCGGCCTTGGTAACGCCAGCATTGGTTATGGGCAAAATCGACTTTCCGAATTCGGCAATATCTGATTGGGTGACACGCACGCGACGAGGATCGAAGGTATTTCACCATCGGATTAAGGGAAAAGTTTAGGAATTGACGGTGGGAAATGGGGATGTACTTTTATAAATAGTCTGAATTTGTAGATTAACTAACTTTTTCGTTTACCAACATTACTCTATTGATCTGGTTTATGTTATTCTAACTTGAATCATAACCCTAAACCCTAAACCCTAAACCAAACCCTAATACACGAACCAATCAATACCATATACTCTACAACAATAACAACACCTTATAGGCTTATACCGTAACCAATCAATAACATATGTACTTTAAACCATCAACACCTTGCTCCTCCCTTATACCATAGCCTTCAAGACCTTATACTGTATACCAACAACACCTTCTTCTATCTCCATCCCCAACTTTCAATTTATAATAAGTGTTTCCTTTGAAATATAAAATGGAACCCACCTTGGCAATTGCTAGCATAATTTAGGGATGTAGATGAATAGAAATTGTTAAGTGATGAATTGCTAAAATTGATGATGTGGCGGTAGGGACCTCGTTTAGAAATTGTTGTTCAATTTTAGGGATGAAGATGATCAATACACTAACCCAATACCATATACTCTAAACCATCAACACCTTATACAATATCGTATTTTAGGATGGAGATGATCAATACACTAACCCAATACCATGTACTCTAAACCATCAACACCTTATACAATATCGTATACCTATACGCTGATAAATTAAAATTATAACTTGCTTTTCAAAACATAAATTAAAAATTGATACTCACTAAGTATCGAACCACAAACCTCTACTTTATTGACTAAGCAAATAAGAGAAAATTAACCAATTAAGCTACATCACATTGATGACCATCTTGCATAATTTCGCTTTCTTATTAAGTGAAGGGTTAAAATGAACGATAAATATATCACAGGGGATTGTTTCAACTTCGGCGGGGACTGAGAGAGTGGAACAGGGGTAATTATTCTACCAAAAAGAAAAGAAAAGGGGGAATTAATGAAGAGTTAAATTGGACGGATTGTCTTTACCACGCCAATACAAAATCATTCGGAGCAAAAACACGCAGGTTCAAATCAAACAATAAATGATCAGCATTTATAAGCAAATATAAAGAATTATGTCTAAGTACTGATAAATGTGTCACACTACAATAATTATGTCTAAGTTTTTTTAGTAATAAGGCATGATCAGCATTTATAAGCAGATATAAAGAAAATATAAAATCGAGAAAAAATAAGACAACACCTACCCTAGGGTTAGCAAACCTCTTTCAAGGGTTCTTTTGCAAACGAAAAGTTTGATGAACACAATAATAGACATGGTCGCCGTAATCGTGTTAGAAAGAGATAGGCGAGTAAATTCCGCACGGAAATAAAATGGCGATGAAAAAAACGTCGATTTGTGGATAGAAGGATTTGGGGTTCAAAACGATGATTATGTGAGGATTTCATATTGGATGGGGATCTTCTCTTCGAATGTGGATACATAGATTTGGCGTATGAAACATGATGATGTTGGGGATTTGAGATTGGATAGGGAGCTAAATCGAATGTGGATCAAATAATAAAAGGATTTGGGTTTCGAAACGATGATTTTGTTGGAGATTTCAGATTTGATAGGCAGCTTATGATCGAACTTCGAACTTAGAGGGGACCCTCCAAGGCGAATGATGGATCGTAGAAGGGAGACTGGAAATTGGTTAGGGCGGCGGGTTGTATCCATAGGGTTTAACCTCTTAATCGATATCATTAAACCGGGTACAGTTAGGTTGAAGTCCAATTAATAAAGCATAAACGCTTCGTGATGCTTTTGGTAATTTTCCTTGCCCCCGGTTACCCGTACTCCGGATTTAGGGTCACTAAATGTCTCTCGTCAAACTAATAATGCTTGATTAGGAAAACTTAATTAATTAGAGAGGAAGCAAAATTAAGAGATTATGTAAACTTTGGATGAGGAGCCAAGGAATTTCTTCAAAATTTGCAACTAGGTATTAACCTAGTTTATATTATAACTTGCAAGAGAAGAGTTGTATGTATACGGGGGACATTCATCCGATTTGAAGGGGGAAACATGATTTCATAGCTCACCACAAGAAATTCAACACTCTTAGCTAAGAAGGGTTTGCTCCATTAGTAATACCATAAGTATTGAACTTGAAGGTATTAGGTTCGAAGAATACCTATTTAAAGATCAAACATATATCACCATATAAAAAATTAAAAAATTCATCAACACTCTTCATAATTAATTGGAGATTAGGTTATACACCGAGAAAACTTCGTTCAAATCAAGATAAAGTTTGACCATAGTATGATCATCACATCCATCATGGTGGGAGGTTTCGAGGAATGTGAAATATATGTCTTGTGCCCCTTAACATGTTGTGTTTTGTTCTTCATAATAGCGACACTAGAATTTTGAGGGTCAGGTTAACAGTAGGAATTGATATACAAGATGATCCCTCCCAACATCAACACTCAAATTCGAATCATGAGCTCAAAAGCAATGGTCACCGTATTAGGACCACATGTATAATACATGTGTTTGTAGTATATCGTGTATATGGATCAATATTTTTTCACAAAATTGATTATATGATTAGTTTCAACATAATTCAACTATTATTATGATTTTAACATGAAATATCTCTCTCGTTCTAGTAACTTATGGTACTACTAGAGTCCAACGATAAATTTTTTTTTGAACCTATGTTATATATAGTATTACTAGTGATATTTTGGCCCCATACGTAATTGAATCCATGAAAGGGTCAAAAAGAGAGGTGCATGTAACTTGAGCTAGAAAGGGGGACATACAGGGTTTAGTTTCAATGAAAATTGCACTTTTGGATCGATGTTAAAATGTGAATGAACAAAAATTCATATAATTAAGCCGTATTTTCAATAGTTGGTCTTTAAACTCCTAAACACGGCATGGCAATTGAGATTATTCTTCTGAAAGGGATGCTAATCATGGTTGATTAATCTTAGTTTTATGATCATATCTATGTTTGACCATCCTACTTTTAATATTGTGGGATTCATTTGGGATGTGACTTGAACTTCATCGACACCAACAGCCATAATTGAATTGAGGGCAAGCTTGACGGTTTGGTGGAGGTAGAGGTGGCAATTAGGATCCAAATCCATGAATCCAATCCAATCCATCCACCAAATTATCTACCTAATCCAATCCATTTAAATCCAATCCATTTGATCCAAATCCAATTGGATTTGTGGATTTATGGATCAATCCATGGATCCAAATGCCAAATTACGATTTGGTACCTATATTTTTTATATTTTACATTTTGGTACCTAAAATTTATATTTTTATACGAAAAATATCATTGGAAAATTACATTTTGGTACCTAAATTTTTTTATTATGACATTTTAGTACCTAAACTTTTCAAAATTTACATTTTGGTCCAAGCCTTGGATGTTATTTGGATTCATGGATCAATCCACCAATCCATTGGATCCAATCCATTGGATCCAATCCATTTGATCCATGGATCTACGAATCCAATCCACGAATCCACGAATCCGATCCAATTGCCACCTCTAGGTGGAGGGAAGGTGCAATTATATATGTAGGGTTTTGGGTCTTGATATTGACTTTGGGTCAAGGACGAAAACAAATGATTATGTCATTGATGTTATTTCGTGAGCCTCAAGCTATCGATGGGGTCTTGGATTAATAGAATTGATGGAATGTTGATAGAAAGATTTGAATGGAGTTCCATATGATACATGATTTGGTCACAAACTCTATACAATTTTATCGCATTACATTCAGACCAAGATTGGCCACAATCGATGTTGTTAATGAACTTTTGATTTATATTAATACAATGAAAGAATAAAACAAATTAAAAGCCATATACATAAAATCAAATTTATTTTCAGTTTCTTTTACTTTTATCTCTTTCACATATAAGTTTGAATTTGATTTAAAACATCAAAACCACAAACGACATAGCAGTATACAAAGTCGATCAAAACGAGATTACAAATGTCTCATAAAATTGCTTCCCTGAAGAAATGGGAGGAGGATACATATGGGATTTCATAATAATTAATTAATTCTTCATCGATCAATGCATAATTAGGATTAATGTGGTTGATTAGAATGGTTGCCTAAACGATGTGGATGAAGAATGTGTCTCATCCCACCTGATCCTCCCCCTCTTGGCAACACACTCATTATCCCCCTTCCTCTCTTCCCCTTCTTATTCCTTTTCCCTTCTTCTCCCTGCAGTTATGTACTTAATCAATTAGTCAACATGCATCAGTCATCACCCTTAATTATGAATATTACAAAATCAAACATAAAACCTCATATCATTTCTCATCTATTACAAATACCTTATTTGATCCATCCTCTACTGGTACTTTGTTTTCCTTTTCTTCATCTTCCATGTTAACTGCTCAAGAACACAAAAACTTATAATTCAGATCAATGATATTTGATACACAAATAATAGATTATATCAATCCTCACGATACTTAAAAGTTCACGAAATAACATAAACTCATCAAACTCGTATTTAGCCACAATATTTGAAAGAAGACAAAAAAAAAAAAAACTTGATCATTGAAGTTATGAGTTCCATTTCAGATGTCATCTAAACAACGTTCAAAGTTTTGAATAGTTTGTACGCTTCTATATATCATTATGCATGCTTCTATCAGCGATACCGTAAATCATACTCACGAACAAACCCAATCAATCAAGATTCTCACCAAAACCCACACAATACACCAATTGCTAGAGACGATTAACACTCACCTTCGTGATCATCATGAGTTTGAGAATCATGATGATGATGATGATGATGATCATCCACCACCTTATGAGGCAACAAGTCATCATCAACACAATAAACCCGGAAACTCGGTGACCCAAGAGAAACCATAATGCTGTCTTCCCTATGCCCTTCTCCTCCTCCTCTGCCGCCGCCGCCGAATTCATCCTTCCCTACCTCCCCTGCCGCTGCCTTCTTCACAACCACCACCATCCTCCCGCCGTCCTTAGCCGGCGGCGGTGGCGGCAATAACAGCTTATCAACCTCATGATGGTGATGATGAAGATGATGTCTTCTAATAGCATGCACCTCCTCTTTAATCTTCCTCAGCCCTCGTAACCTACTGGCAGACGATACGCTGCTCTTCCTTGCTCCGGCATCGCCAGCTCCCTCATCGGTGGCGGCCGGCGGCGGATGAGGGGAATCGACGTTGTGGTGGTGGGTTTGTTGCGCTCCCGCCGCCGCACCTTCGTGGGCGTCGAACTTGGAAGCGCCACAACCCATGGAGATGTAAACATTAACCCCAAAACAGTAATTATTTATAATTATACGGAGAAGAAGATTAAGGAGGGGGCAGAACAAATCAAGAGCCGAGATAAGGTATCAATTTTTTTTAGGGCATATTGAAGGAGTTAGGTTCGAATTTTTGTTCATGTTAAGGCGATATTTGGTTTGTATGTTTGTTTGGTTGTTGTAAGTTAAATATGGGATTTTTTTTATTATTAGGGGATGAATTTTTTTATTTTTTAATTTTAAGATTATAATTGTTAGTTTGTTTGGAACGGTTATATATTTGGGTTAGTCTAGTAAATAAGAAAAACTATTATTTGCGCCTTATCCAATTGACGATGATACTTATAACACATAGTAATCATGTAATTGTTGATATGCGTTTATAAGTATACGTGACGTGTTAGTTGTCCAATCAACAAGCTATGCATCCATATCATTCAACTATCTCACTGAAGTGTTAGTTGGAATATTGAAGTCTCAAGTTGGATCTAGTGGGTGCATGAGTATTGATTGAATGATTATAGTAACATATATAGAACTCAAAAAGTATCCCGACTCAATCAACGTAATTTAAACGAACGAGACAATATCATTATTTTCTTTTCTTGTAAAATATTTTATTTCCGAATCAGAGTGCGTAATTAATGTAACTCTGTGGTAGATCTCCCACGAAGCAATATACAATTAGTTACAAATTGTACACCATTCCAATTTCCCAAATGAATACATCCTCTGAGTCTCTGACCACTTGATTATGATTAAGTGACCTTAGTGGTCAATAATAAAGCATTAAGTTTAGTTGGTCTGCCAAACCAGACAGTGGACTGGGCTGGTTTAAATTTTGGGCCTAGGCTTATGTAATTTACAAATGGACAAATAGGCAAATTGGGCTTTGCTTCCATTACCCACAGATAGGTCCAGAACACGGAGCCGACACTCCTAACTCTTTTGGCTGGCCGGGAGCGCAGAGACGAAGGAAGAACTAGCGGCAGCGCCGGCGGCACAGAGAGAGATGTCAGGCGGAGCATTTTGGGCGACGAGAGTGATGGAGATAGTGAAGAAGCACGACTCGGGAGGACTCGTCTGGAAAAGAATCAAACTCACCCCCTCTCGTAAGGCCAACGCCAAGAAGCGTCTCCAGCGAGTTTGGCAGGTCCGTTTTCTCCTTCCAAGCTCCGGCTATTAGTTCAGAATCGTAGGAACCTAGCTTTGGGAGTTTTAGCTGAGTAATAAATTGGGCTCTTTGCAATTAGATGAGGGATTTTAGAATTGCAGTGCTAGACTTGGATACTAGGGTATTTATTGTATTTGGTATGAGTTAGTTTCTCGCAAATTTTAGCTCGTTGAAGTATTTTAGTTTCCACCTACTCAATTGAACTGTGGACTACGGAGAGAACTCTGGTTGTTTGGGGCTGCAGCCCCAAGCTTAAGATACAGAGGACTCTTTAAGGATTTGCTTTGGGAAATGATTTGATTCAGGGAACGAAAAGTAAAGTTGCAGTTTTTCTGCATCGTTTGTTGTTCTTTTCAAGTAACAATGGTACTAAATGCATTATGTTTCCTCAATATCTGGCTATTTCGATTGTTTATGTTCCTCGTTAAGTTCTTACTCTGCCATTGCTCTTGCAGAATGAGGCTGTCTTGAGGGCATGCGCTGAACCACCACCTTCAACGGCATCCACTAATGAGGCTGGCGGACCTGTAGACGGAGATGATAACACCACCACCAAAACCTTGGATGCCTCAAGTTAATGAGATTGAACATGAGATAAGTAGCTCAAAGCAAGCACTTATGATCTCAGAGCTATATTGTTCTAGTGATTGTTTTAGTTTTAGTTTGTCAGTCTGATGTGGAAGGCTCTTTAGTTAAAGGAAGCATATCACCATGGCAACAACATGAGCAATTCTAGGATACTGATTTTGAAAACAATTCATTGGTAATTCAAAATAGAGGTACAGAATCAAGAAACACGTTCAGAGAGCCAATTTGGATATAGTTAGTGTCATTTCTTGATACAGCCCATGGTGTCGTGTTGCTGGGTGTAAGATGCTCTTTTCTGATAGAATGTAATCCCATATCTTGTTCTTGCACGAGAACTCCAGGTTTGACTTGTATGATGCACTGCATTTCAGTTCATCAGGTGTTTATCGTGTTCTTCTTTTCCTTTTGGATTTAACCATTGGTTTACTTGATTCAAGTTATAAAAACCTTTTTACCAAACACGTTGTGTTTCCATAGCTCGAAGTGAAAACCTTTCAGTAAGCTGGAATCATTCCTTTCCAACTTACTCATGCACTTGTTTGTGCTGGTAGTTGTCTATATTCAGTTTATTAGGAAGCTATTTTGTGGGATCCTATAGAAGTAGTAGTGTTTGTGATACTGAGTCATACATACCCCTTGTACCCGTTAAACTGTGTCCTAGTAACCATGTCGACAAGATTTTGTAACACTTTCATTATGGTTTTACCACAGTTTGCAATTTGCACATGATGTTGTTCTTGTACCTTAAATCTTTAGTCTCTCTAATTTTATATTTGCATAACTTTTTAAGGACTACAATATTTAGTAGGAGAGAATTTTCAAAAAATTAATTATTTATGGATATAAGGGGTTTTGGGAATAACTTTACCTTCCTTTTCAGGAATCCAAGTACATTCCGAAAATATGTCTATGATAAAAATTGTAGTCCTTAAAAAGTTATGCGAAATAAAAAAAAAAATTCATGATTTTCGGATTGTGGAGCACAAAGTTATGGTCGTTCAAAGTTTGACGAAATCGAAAAAAGGCTCGTTCGGGGTAGCAAACGATATATTTTCGAGACGAAGGCGGGACCAAACCGCCTACGGCAATTTTCGGCTTGCAAGATCTCGAAAAATTATGCGGAATCAAAAAAAAATTTCTCTACGATCGGATAACCGAGCACAAAGTTACGTTTGTTTAAAGTTTCGACGCAGGTCAGGCCTTCACCGCGGCCGTGTACTGCAGTGATGCAATCACTGTCTTGGTCGACACCAGTGATGCAATCACTGTCTTGGTCGACAGCGGTGATGCAATCACTGTCTTCGTCGACAGCGGTGATGGCCCAAACATGCGTAGATTGGGAATTATTTTCATAACGTGTGTATTTTGAGAATTTTTTTTAAAAACATGTGTAACGATTTTTTCCCCAAATCTCCATAGCATCGCCGCCGTCCTCCTCCTGACCTCCTCGATTCCTCCACTTCACTTCCATATGGACCAAGAAACTTGCTGTTCATCGACACCTCCTTCCTCGCCTAAGCGAAAATAATAGATAGCCTTGCATTCCCCAAAATGGAATATTACCTCTCATCATGAATGAAAATTTACCATCTCCCCTCGGATAAAAAAAAACCAAGGAGAATTCTAAGAATCCATACACTGTTTAAATTAAATTCATCTTTTATGGAGAATGCCCCGACGCTTGCGGGTGAGATCCTCGGACTTATCAAGGTTAATCAGATTATTGGGAGCCAAACCTAGATTCTCCAAGTTCTTCAGGCGAGTCGCTTCTTGGTCGACGTGGAAGTGATCAGTGAAGTGGAGAAAGCGAGGAAGCCTGGAGGAGGAGGAGGCCAGGACGGCGGCGGCGACGCTATGGCGATTTGGAAGAGCAAAACGTTTTTTTTTTCGTTTACAATTTTTACCTTTTTGTTTTATATAATTCTTTACTTTTTTTGACAAAAAATAAATATTTTATTCCTACTTAATTGTAGATGGGCGGAATTTTAAAACGGATGCACAATTCAGTGACGTTAGTAGTACTCGATGTCCTATTATTACTTTAGTGGTATAACTCCCTCATTTCTCATAATTTAGTGGCATCTAAAGTATTTTACCCCATTCTAGAATGTGTTTGGGCTGCGCTTTATCATGTATTCTTCAAGGGGATGCAAAGGTAGTCATTGATAAGATGAATTAGGGGTCCATTCGGGGTGGGGGCAATGGGATGGGTTTGTCTAAACCATCTCCACTCCCGTTTTCAAATACCCAAACTCATATTCAGCTCATACTCGTTCTGGGAAATGTTTCGCAAACTCATCCCCATACCGTGAATTTCGGGTACACATGGGTAATATCTGCCCCGCACATCCAACTTTATTATACTTAAAACTTTTTAAGAAAAAAATTTAATTATAACACTAAACAAACATACTATATCAGGAAGTCAACAAAACACGGTCATTTTCTAAATACGGTTCAAAAAATATGATCCAAAAGCATCCATTACTACATAATATAGAGTATAATATTTTTCAAATTATTATGCTCTAACTATGATACATCTACCAGGTAATAATTAACTAACATAATCTTGTTGACAAGGGGGAAAGTGAAAGCGTGAAGGGAGAATTGAGCGAAATGAATTAGGTTTGATTAGTGTGGCCACTCAATTGCATTTCTACTATTTATTTTCTCGAGTTACATTCATTCTCATTGATAGATTACAATTTGATCCACACACTTTTTTATATATGAAGAAATTTTTTTGGTGGGGCGAGTATGGGTATGGGACGTGGGATGCCAAAACCATATCCGCTTCATACCCATCAAACTTTTTGCGGGTTTTACCCATACCCAGTCAAAGCGTGAATTCCCCGTATTGACTGGGTCGGAAACGGACGGATACCCCTGGCCATGGGTTTGATTGACATCACTCATCCGGGGTTGCAGAGGTGGCGCAGTGTATCAAGAACTTCATCGATTGCTCGAGGTGTATGATGGAGTGCGACTATGATTCATTGGCAGAACAATTGAGTAGCCCATCAAAGGGACAATAAATCAAGTGAAATATCTCAATAATTATACTAATCCATATGTTTGAAACCCTATATAACTGTCTAGGGTTCCACAAAATTCAAACAAAAAGAGGAGTTCAATTACACATATTCAAGGAAAGAAGCATAATTACGAGGAAGAAGACCATCTCGTATATAAATTTCCCTTGAAATCAAGCTCCAAGGAAAACTAGTTGATTCTCCAATCTCGGGAAGAATCTCCTACGCTCCATTGCTCTTACAACTCTAGAAACCTCGAATACGTGATGTCCTCTCGAGCCACTTTTTGAAAATTCTAATAAACAGACATCTCCAAATTGACAAGTTTTGGCCAACTAACTGATTTGGGGATAAAAACACCTGAATTGGTTTAAACGATCAGATTCAAAGGAATATGTTTCTACGAATTTTCATAGAAACTACTAACATTATTCAAACTTGAGAACCCCGTTAGGTAATTTAACTCGTTGATCAAATCGCCTAGTGCAAACCTGCACTAGAAATAAGCAACCCTTTGTTGCTGAAGAAAAACACGTTTCCACGGTTACTTTCTTCTAATAGATGAAAACATTAATTAATGATCAAAAGGGTGCACTTCGTCAAATCAATTGACAAAAGCTTTACAATAAAATAAAATAAAATAAATAAATCATTGACAAAAGCAAGTGGGCTCGTCAAGAACAAGATAAGAGGCAGAATTGTTGTTGCCGATCGAGATCATAGACACGGTATAGATTTATATACTTCTGTTTGACAGACTCGATTCAGTGATTTGTTGAACTCAATTTGTGACTTGATTCATTTCGAGCTCATGATCTAGCTCTTAATTAGTGGACTAGCTAACCACATCGACTAACTTTGCTAGATGTTTATGATCAAATCAAAATATAGCTTATAAGTTGGATTGTTAATAAATCATGTGTTTATTAGATTATATATTTGTAGGTGAGCAAATATGTCTCATTTATAATTTAAAAGAGAAATTATGTATCGCAAATTGTTTAGACATTAATTACTGTTAACTAACATTACATGATTAAATAAAATTTCTTAGCTAAATAATGATATTTGAGCTCGAGCAACCATCTCGTGGGTATAGTACTGAGCTCGAGTTGAACGCGAACCAAACAAAATCCCAAATTTCAATAAACAAGTTGAGTGCAAATCAAATTAAAACACGATTTGACTCGGTTTGTTTACGGCACTAAAAAAAATTATAAAAAAAAAACGAAGAAAAAATGTAACAAATAAAGTGCAAAGGACAAACGCTAGTGGTTAGGTGCCGTGGTTAGAGAATTTGGACCAAGTTTAGAAGAATTGGATAAGCAATTTAAAAGGCAAAAAAGGGTTTAGCACCGAAGCTTCCTTTTTTCAAACTAAGCACCGAAAAACCAAACACTAAACCCCACCACTATGAGGATAAAAACAAACTTTGTTTTAACATGATAATCTACAAAAAAACACAGACAAAGATGCAGAAAAGAGATAAATTCATACTAAAAATGAAATAGAAACCAGAAACCCATTCACACCGCAAATCAACCTTTACCAAATCCCACATTTCTACCAATCCAGTTTTGGTTTCATAATTGATAATTACATGGTGAGACATTTTTCTGATCATATAAAACAGAGCCTTAGGGGAGGAATATGCGTATGGGGCAGGGAAGATCATGACCAACTCCAACCCTATTATCGTCAATCTCATTACGGGTTTTACTTGTCTCTGTCAGGTAACAAAATAAAATATGAGAATTTCTCGTATTAACTAGGTCACGGGGTGATAGGTTACCCACAGATTTAATTGACATCATTCTTAAGATGGAAAATCGGTTTTGTGTATGTGCATAGATAATTGTGCATTTTAGATAAGACAAGATGTATATCCGACTTTTCTTTTTCCAACCGTACTTGCATTCTTGGTGAAATCTTTAATTCCTATAATAACTTTTTAATACTTTGTAAAAATCATATTACCATGAATCTTATTGTTAATTAATTGATACAATGTTTTGCATCTCAAATTCAAACCCATGTCAATGTCAACTTAAATACAAATCAAAGCCTCAAATATCATAAGGCAATACGACGAAAGTTGAGTTGTTGAACTTGTATGCATAGCAATAGCCTTGGAGAAACAATAATGTCATTGTAATGACTTTTATTCACACGCGATGGATTAATGTTAGCATCCACGATTATGTTAACAATTTTTTAGATTCGACTCTGTTATGCAAACATTATTTTCACGGGGAAGACCATCAATTCATTAAGACACTCAAGAGCAATTTTATCATGTTGTTTATATTGATTGAAATTGTTCGCGTATGATATTGTCAAGATTTCAAAATCACGTTCGCGTACTAAATCTTTTGTGATGATCACCCTGTCATTAGCATCGCTACCTTATAACATTAACCTCGCAGCGAGTTCAAATCTCAAGCGTGTTACATCTTGACCAGTACTGAGATTCTAGATCCAACTCAAGCTGAAAACAGATGAGAAAAGAAAGGACAGGTGTGTGCTTATTTTAATCAGAGTCCCCATAGCTTTTGTGCGATCATTCTTTCTCCATCATCATCACAAAAGTGGCATAAAAAGGAAAAGAAAACGTTTCCATCTGAATTTTCTTTTCTTTCGACAACAGTGTTGTTCCGTTTTCTCCAAATTTCTAGAACCCACACCTCATTTTCTTCCCTCCACTACCTCCTCTTTCTATAAAACTCTCTCTCGTACACGGAACCTCAGGAAAAGAAGAAGAAGAAGAAGAAGAATTATCTGTTCTTCCTTTCCCTTGATTGCTTCCTCCCTTCATTCAATCCTCTCAGCAGCATCAGCTAGCTTCTTCTATTTTTTTTTTCTTGCTTCCGAGTTATGATCTGTTTGGTTCTTCGTCTTCGATTTGCAGCAACAATCTTCCATGGATAGGCAGAAACAACAGCTCTTCGACACCATAGCTAGCTCCAACTACTTCCTCTTCGGTTTCTACTGCTGGGATTGGGAATTCCTCACCGCTCTCCTCCTCTTTAGTTGCTCCATCTGAACAATCCAACCTCTCCACCCTAGCTGATTTTGATTCCAGTCTCCCACAATTTCAATTTCTTTTAGCTAGCTCTCTCTCAGATTACCAGTACAGGAACCAAAAACAGAGTTCCGCCTCTTTCCTTTTTCTTTGTATAGATTTGACTTTGTTCACAGAGTTTTCCCCAAAAATTTCCGGGGGGATCTTGGTGAGGGTGGGGGGGAAAAAAATGGCGCAGAGATCGGTGCCGGCGCCGTTTCTGACGAAGACGTACCAGCTGGTCGACGATCCGGCGACCGACGATGTGATTTCGTGGAGCGAGACAGGGGCGACGTTCGTGGTGTGGAAGACGGCCGATTTCGCCAAGGATTTGCTGCCTAACTACTTTAAGCACAACAATTTCTCCAGCTTCGTCCGCCAGCTCAATACTTACGTAAGTTTCCTCCCCTGCCTCCGCCATTTCCCCCTTTCTGCTGCGATGTTCGGGATTGTGCGTTTTCGGTTTAGTTCAATTGTTTTCTTTGATTTGATTGGAAACGGTTGAAATGAATGAGTCGTGATTGGTTAGCCATTAATTAAATTGGAATTTTCTCGGGAACCAAACAGAAAAATACAGTCTTAAAAGAAACCGGAAACTTCCTCGTGATTACAGAGTAATTAGGGGGGAAAAGATTTCTTTGCTTAATCTTTGATTCCTACTTCCGAGTTTGTAGGTTGTAGTTAGTTCCCGTCCAAATTTTGCGTGAGTCAAATATGGTGATATATATTTTTTAGCAATAATCAACCGTAATGTGAAGATAAGAACATTCCGTACATACTTAGATTCGAACTTTGAAATCAACAATCAATAATATAAAAAGAAAAAATATATTTATATATTTGCAATTCAAAGTTTCAAACACCAATTTCAATGGGGCGATCCATCACTTATCAACATAATTCAGTAGTGACAAAATGTGGAGAAGGTAAAAGAAGTATGAATCCGTCACATGTTATATGGATATATGAATTGTCAAAAAAAATATATATATATATATATATATATGGATATATGCAAGCCCCTTTTTGTTGACGATTTAAGCAATTATAACATTTAGCTAGGCACCAAAACTGAAAATTCCCTTTCATGTGTCCATACATGCTATTGGCATCTACCTACTTTGGTAAGTTGGATGACATTCTACCAAGATGATAAATGCCAAGCAGTCAAAACAATAAAAAAACATTCTTAAATTATTTTTAATACAATATTTTCGATAAATTTAAGATCTGATTTTTCTCGTCAAGTGACAAATATGACACGCTAGTTTTAGTTATCAGTTCAACAATGAATCAAACATTCTTAACAAAATCTATAGTTAAACGTTGTGGCCAAGTTATGGTTGAAGTTTATTTTTTTTATATGTGTTTTTCGTTTTGAAGATAATGTATCGGATCTATCAAATAGAATCAAATGTATCTAGTTTTGATGTTGAGCCAAATCTAACCATACAAAATCAGGTAGATGTATATTCCCATTAATGATCCTCATGACACAGTAAATATAGTTATTATGAGTAATGTTGGCTCTTGGGTTGGTGGCAATGAGAAAAGAACCATAGAGATAGAAGTAAAGATCGTGTTTACATTAGTGGAGAATTTTCCAATTGCCATCAAAATCAAACACTTGGACAAAATTTTCAATTGCGTACTAATCGGTCAAAATTCCAATTTAGTCCACTTCCACACAAAACATACATTCCACACCTATTGGCTGCGCCGATTCTTCACCTAACCTTTGTAATCCACTCCCCGCTCGCCGCGTGTCACTGTACCCACCTGATCTGACGTCATTGCTTGCGCAGGGGTTTCGGAAAATCGTGCCGGACAAATGGGAATTCGCCAACGACAACTTCCAGCGCGGCCGCAAGGAGCTCCTCTCCCAGATCCGCCGCCGCAAATCCGTCACTCCGACGAAAACGGGCGGCGCCGACGGAGAGGGGAATAGCAACAACGACGGCGACGACGACAACAACAACAACCACTCCGGCGACGACATGGGTTCCAGCTCGACTTCGTCCCCCGATTCGAAAAATCCGGGCTCGACGGTGGATACAGCGGCGGCGGCGGCGGCGACGACGACGCAGTACGCGGACTTGTCCGGCGAGAACGAGAAGCTGAAGAAGGACAACGAGCTGCTGAGCTCGGAGCTCGCTCAGGCGAAGAAGCAGTGCGACGAGCTGATTTCTTTCCTGACGGATTACGTCAAGGTCGGGCCGGATCAGATCCACCGCATCATGCGCCAAGGTGAAGCCTGCTCCTGGTCCAGCAGCGATGAGGCTGCGCTGGCCGCCGGCGGTGCGGCGGCGGACGGCGGGCGCCGACGAGGTGATGATGACGAAAATGAGAAATCGGAGGAATACGGGGATAACGACGGCGGAGGCGAGGAGGAAGACAGCGGCGGTAGCGGTCTGAAGCTCTTCGGGGTGCTGCTGAAATGCAATGCTGGGAATAAGAAGAAGAGGGGGCGCTCCGGCGCAGAAATTGGGTTCGGCGGTGCCGGTCCTCACGCCAAGGAAATCAAGATCTGCCACTGAAAGGAAGATTTGGGTGAAGTGAACGAATCTGGGCTGGGTGTCCACGGTAGATTTGGGTGGGCCTGGCCCATACAGGATTCGTAGTATTCGGATAAAAGTAAAACTAGGTAGGACAAGAAAAAAAGAAAAATGACGTGAGGAAAGGGTCTAGGACTCTAGAATAATGAAGGGTTTTGTTTTTAAGCTTTGGGAACTCTATGTAGTAAATTGTCATAAATAAGAATTACAAGTACACTCCATCCTTTTTCTCATGAAATTAATGGTTACACAAATGCTAATGAATTGGGGTTTGACATATAGTTTTGTTGTTAATTTTTGTGAGGTTCATATAAGTGATTCGACAAACGGTCATGGATGGTTATTCATGATGTGAATTGGGCACTATTCCGTTCATTTTATTGTACTTCTGTCTATTGTGTTTCGTTGATTTAACAATGCTCGATTATATAGTGGCAACAAAAGTAATTTCATCAACAATTCGAATATGGATCAACTGTTACGTTTACTTAAAACGATTATGACTTTCTGATCATATTTCCTTTATATTTATATGGAAGCATGCCTAAAATTGAAAGTTTGCGACGGTTTGGTTCATATCAGATTGCAACAGATCAAACTGAACCGAATATAATTCGATCTGGTCCTTATTATCATGAATTTTATAAATACGAAAAAAAAGTAGATAAAATTAATATTTGAATTGTACCAAATCGGACCGAATCCAATAATAATCTAGTCCTTCGTCCTAACTACTGGACGCGATTCTCAGTTTCTCACTGGTAAGAGTTTGGTTCGGACCTCACCGTTGCACACACTTTACCTCTACCTGAACACTTGTGAGTTTCGAATCTGACACCTCATGGAACGACGTCGCCGCAAGCTCCGGCGAGCAGACAAGTCAAGCCCATTAAGCAACCCCAAGCAGAGCAAATTCGTGGGGACACCGGAGATGAAAGAAAGTGAAAACAGACAATACCAGCAAACGTAATAGAACAAAAATCAGTGAGAGAAGAGCTCGGTTTGTGGCCAGAAACTGATTAATGGCTGTCAGAATCACCACCACCGCCACCTCTTTCTTCACCGTCACCGCTCCCTCCTCCTCTCCATTCCCTTCCAAACCTCTCCCTCTTCTCACCTCTTTTCCCTCTCATCCCCGCAGTTCCTACAGTTCCCCGGCGACGAAAACCACCTCCCTCGCCGCTCTCTCTTCACCATCCTCACAAATGTCCGACGACGGCGGCCGCCGCAAATTCATGGACTTCCCCTTCGCCGCTGGTCCCATCAGAGACGCCATGGTCGATCTCGTCTCCACCGTCGAGAATCGCCTCGCCTCTCACCTCCTCCCTCCAGCTCTCCCGCCGGACGTCCAGTACTGCCGCAACGATCCCGGCACCGCCCACGCCTCCCTCCACATCCGCTCCGGCCACAATTCCTCCCCGGTATAAAAAAAAACCCCAATTCAATTAGGGTTCTTAAGAAAAAAACAACCGAATCGAAGCTAATTTTGGTCAATTTTGGGTTTTAGGTGGATTTCATACTTGGTAGCTGGCTTCACTGCAAGCTACCCACAGGCAATGGATCGCTCAACATAACGAGCCTCTCAGCGTACCTAAACACGTCCACCGACGCGCCCAATTTGTTGATAGAGCTGATTCAGAGCAGCCCGGATTCGCTGATTTTCATCCTCGATTTGCCGCCTCGAAAAGATCCTGTTTTTCATCCCGAGTACCTTCAAGAATTCTACGAGGAGACGAAGTTGGACTCCCACAGGCAAGTTCTGGAGAAGCTCCCTGAAGTCCGTCCTTACTTCTCCTCGTCGCTATACCTCCGGAGCATCCTCTCCCCCACGGCGATCATCGTCAGGATCGACGGCGGCGAGCAGGCTGGTCGGGTGGAGGAGATTGTGAAGGAGTGTGTGCATCCTGTGGCGAAGGAAGTCGTGGGTATCTGGTTGGAGAAATGTGCGATGGAGAAGAGGGAATTAGGGGAGGACGAATTGACGTGTTTGAAGAAGAGGGATGGTTTGATCAAGAGCAAAACGATCGAGATTGATCTGGGTTCGAACTTTCCCAGACTGTTTGGGCCAGAGGTTTCAGAGAGATTGCTTGGAGCTGTAAGAGTGTATTACAATGTCTGATAAAGTAAAAAGCTTTTCATGTGAAATAGAATATAGTGGAAATAAAGTTGGAACTCTTTTGATGGCATGTAAATCGAATTGCAATTGGGGATTTGAGGGCAGAGTTCTCTGTTCTATCTGGGTTCGTAAACTAATCAAACAAGCACCAAGAAAGGACAAATTTAACACGTACCAACTACGGCGTGATTCTCATATTTCCTTTTCCTGTTATCCTGCTCTGTTTACTACCATCATCAATCCTAGCTCGCCACATTCTCTATTGCATTAACTAAAACAGGGGGGGAAGAGGTTAGCTTGGATGTCTCTGGATGTGGACGTTGAGTGTCTGCGGTGTGGTGGTGACTTCAAACGTGCAGATGTCTCCTTTGTTCAGCAAGTTATCAGTGGCAAACTTAATCCAACCTCGGCATGGTGTGCTGTAACCGTGTTGGTCATAGACCAACAGCTTCACCGCCCATATGCTGTCACCAACTCTAAGCTGCAGCCACTCCACGCTTGATCTGGTGATGTGCTTGCGGACAAATTCCAGCGGAAACCTCTGCACCAGAAAACCAAACCCACACAGTAAGCCACTATTTTGCAGAAGGAATGTCCATAGCCTGCTTAGGTTATATATAACTCACCGGGCCACCGCTAGAACAGTAACGCGCTGTGATCACTTTACTGAAAAAGGGCTGCTCTGTGGGAAAGTTTGGGGCAGCAGCTGAAATGCCAAAATCATTTGGAAGGTTGGAGGATGAAGGTCTCAACTGGGTTTCAGCATTGTCTATTCAAACACACACAAAGCAAAACAAGCTGTGGCCCCTTAGGTAAATGGTGGGAGTAAAAAGGTGAGAAGAAAGAACATTACAAGGTAAAGAACGGTTTCGAGTTCTTCTCATTTTTACCTGTGAAACCTACTGCAGCAGCAGGAGCTTTGCCTTTGGGATCCCCCATCTTCATCCTTCCAACAGCAGGAGCTAGTTCTTCTGGGCAGGAGCAGTCAACTGGGGACTTTGAGTAGTCAATCTCTGCTGCAGATCGTTCAAATACAAGAACAAGGAAACGGGATGTGCCCTGACGCTCGAAGACCAGAAAGTCGCCGTGTTTGAAACAGTAGTGTCGCGAGAACTGTTCCCATCCCTTCTTAAACCAAACCCTTGCTTTATCATCTCTAACCAGCTGCACAAGCCAAGCATCGCCATTTGGGAGCTCGAGAGTAACCACACTAGGGAGACCATAACAATGCTCATCACTGTACTTCTTGGGGAATCAGCTGCCGAAACAAATCTTTTTTACCAAATAGCAGAGATTCATGACCAGACTATGCACATTTTTGGATAAAAAAAGGGGAATTAAAGCAGAGGCGTATATATAATTCATATATGTTTACCATGTTCTTGTCTTGATCAATGTCTTCCTGAAGTAGTATTCTGACGAATCGTGAGCCGAGCCATGAAACCGAAGCATCCATTGTTGAAGAAGAAAGCTCGACAGTTGCAGCTTCTTAGCTGGAAACGAAGATATAGTATATATATGAGTGTGGTTTGGTATGTGAGTAGAGAAGATGAAGGGGCAAATGGGGTTTAAATATGAAGAGCATTTCCACTGCAATAATGGCAGAAAAGAAGATATAGGTTCTGACGGGCTCTTATATGAGACCTTTCACAAAAATAGTAATGCACAGCTGTGAAAGCCAACAACATGAAGCAACTCCCTGAAAAAATGAAGTGACTGCTGAACTTGCTTATGAAAGCAAAGGTATGGAGAGAGCCACTTAACCCAACGCACGAGCTTTTAAATCTTGGGCCAAGTGATAAAGTGATCATATAATTTTGGTCAATCGTACAAAGAATACAGCCCATAGACTACATGTTGATGCAGAACCACCAGGTTCTTTCAAGTGATCCAAGGTATAAGATATGTCAAAGAAGCTTCTGAGCTAATGCTGTTAATCAGTTGCTCTGGTATAATTTTTCTAGAGCTGCAGATTGACTAAAACAACAAAAGGAGTCTAATAACCAAGTTGTTCAAACCAACTAAAACTCAACTCAAGAGCATAATTCTTCCTTTCAGCAGAAGGTGGATAGAGTATGATTTTTGCGATCATGAATCTCACAATTAACATAGATCAAGTTTGGAGCCTAAAAATATTTGATTAAAATTTCACCCTTGCAATTTATATAAAGTATTTTCACCACCAAGTTGACCTTGTGTCCTAAATTTATTCTCAAGTTGGTTCCCTCGTGGAAAACTGCGGTTGACTCTCGAACTAACTGCTGAATTTACAGAGGAATGATCGAGAAGAACTACATCTAGTGCAAGTCATCTAAAGGGGTTTTAGTTTTTTCAGATGGATGCATTATCTCTTTATAATAGGCGGATCTATGAGTTCTCGCAAACGATTCAACTCATTAATCACCTTGCTCATAGTTGTTTGTGCATCTGTTGGTGTTTCTAGTTCTCACTCTGTTACTACTAATCAAAAGCTACGGAGATTGTAAGTGCTGGACGGTTCAAATCACCAATCACAAGCCTGACCATACCTCTTTGTAGCGGGGCGAGTGACACGGTAAAAAGCTTATTGTCCTTGTTCCTATCTTGAAATCTGAGAGCATCTTCACTGATATTCCAGCTCTGGCTCAATTCTGCAACTGGCCATCTGCAATAGTTCTGCTAATATGTAATACCTTCTGCAGTGGTTCTAGGCAGTGGGCGAATTGAGAACATCATTTACAACTATAGATTTGCCTCGTTCCTAGGCAGCCACTGGCGTAGCCTTTTGCATTTTCTTGGCCGACCTTTGAAGATCTAATTCCTGAGTTCACACTTTTGCCTTAGAAACCTACAAAGGAGAACAAAAATGCATCAGAAACACGTCAACCCCAAGCTTAACAGAGCAAGTGAAACTTTTCTATATCAAAATGATGTTTAATGTGTTTCTCTAGTCTCTACTTAGAACCTTTACATCTAAAAGTAGTAAAATATTGTTTTAGTGATGGGATAATCATCATTTTTACACACAAAGCCTTGAATTATTAGCAAGTACTATACAACAAATATAAGGAGCCCAACACAGTGAACTTCCAGGTTCTTAGAGGCGAAATGTTCTCATGAGCAGATAGCTTATTATAAGTAATATCTATGAAAAAAGTGTGGATCTTTTGAAAAAACCCAAATACATTCACCGAGAACAAAAGCCTAAACTCACCAGCATGAACAAAAGCACAGAGTAGTACACAAATGAACTTGCCAAATGGTGGCAAAGAGGAACAGGCATAACACCAAAATCGAAATGGAAGAAGTTCATTGCAAATCACGTTAAATGTTGAAGCAATGAAATTCATAATTCCACACATTAACCAGGTCACAGGGACTTAACTTGAACCAGGGGGCGTTTCCCCAAAGACCTAGGTCATCGTATTCCCGCGGCCGAGTACCTGTTTAACACAGGCAAACTCAGCTTCTTCTTCAAAGAATGACGGTGGCTTGCCCAATTCTCTGAGTTTCCCCCCCTCATCAAAATATCTCCGACGTTTTCTGCAAAGCATGATGCAACGGAGAATTCTGGCACAACTCCGCTCTGCAGTCTGAAATCGTTCCATTCGATCGATACGCTACATTTCTGCCTCTCCAGAAAGACTCTTCCAATTCCAGTCCTTCACAATCCTCAAAGCCGGCGACGATCTCCTCTTCCATCTCCATCTTTCGTCTTTAGGCGCAGTAATTGGCGCCGGCGCCAACCAACAAGAGTGATCATCGCCGTCGGGCGTCGGTCGGAGGAGAAAAGAGGTAAAGGAAGGGTTTGTGGACCTGGGCCGTTCTTGGGCCGGCACGGGCCTGCTGGGCAATTCATAAAAGGAGGCTAAGAGCATTGGACTATGCTTGTACATTTTCTGTTGTACTCATGAGCCCATCTCCTGCCTCTCGAGTCCTCATCGTTTAAGTCCAACCCAAATTTGGCATATAATAAAGGTGACTATCGGTTGATTACTTGATTATGTTCAGAACCGGATCAAATCGGGATAAAATCAGACTAAAATGAAAGAAAAATTGAGAATCATAATCTTATCAAAATTAGATTTGGTTCATTTGGTTTGACTCAGTCCAATACAAATTTAGCTTTGGTTTACTTTTCCTTCATACTTAATATAATTCGTAGGATCGAAATTAAATCAAAATATAATTGATCCAATTCAATTCAATATCAATTTGGTTTAGTCTAGAGTTTAGGCCGAATTGTTGCCCGCCCCTAATAATAACTCATTGGCACCTCAAACAAGATTAAATTGTACATCTTACGTGATAAGTCAACATGACATGAGGAACAAAGTCTTGCCCTATTGTTTTTAAGCCAATTAGATTTACAATATATTCTAGGTATTGTTGTCTCACTTTTTTAAGAGAATTAAACTCTAACATTGATATAAAATAAGCTTTACACAAGTCAATACAAAGTTACACTTACCTTGTCATGCAATTCATATGTAGTAGTTTGCAAGCTCCACGTGAACATCATTATGGTTTTCATCCTTGATGCCACAACTGATGTTTGACATAATATCATATTGGGTTGAGAAATTTTGTGGTCTGGCCTAGACCATACCATACATAAGGTTGATGGTCCAAAACTAGAAGATAAAGCGTAAATCAAAAACCAGACCAAATACTAAATGGTGCAATACCAAACCGTGCATGTGTGGTCGGGACCATGCAGAGCACATTGAGATAAAAATGAATAATTTGTTTAGTCAACCACAGACAATCAATAACCGATCAACAATCTTTTTCCCCCTTAAAACATAAACTCCAACACGCATGCATCATTTTGATATCATAAATCCAAGTAGATAACAAAAACATAAAGTCAGAGGAATCTAACTTGCACCATAACATCATAACATCAAAACATAATGTAATATGAAGACACGATTGTCTCTACTCTGTGGCTGAGTGATGTTTATGAATGAAGGAGGTGACAAAATTCACAAAATTTTGGTTGAGACTTGAGTCTCGTTGAGGAGTTGGTAGAGCGACTGAGTTAGCTACTAACACAAATCGAGAATTAGGTTAGATCCATGGTTTGATATAATAAACCACGATCTGGACCAGATCAAGAGATGAATACAACCTATAAAACAGAACATGAACCAGATTAGACCGTTCTAAATAGGGATGGCAATAGGTTAGGTTGGAGCGGGTTTTGCCAAACCCAAACCCATGGGTTTATCTGACAAAAAAATCCGGTGTAAAACCCACTGGGTTTGAAAAACTCAAACCCAACCCGCTGGGTATCCGCTGGTTCATCGGTACCCGTGGATTTTTGTGTAAAAAAATTAAAATAACAAGTTTGTTTCAAAATAAAAGTCTAACATAAAATTTCTCATACAAGTTATCCATACAAAAAACACCAATCTAGAGCATACAAAGCAAACCGCAAATTACCAATACAAATTGTTCAAAATAAAAGATAAACATCTATAAACAACATGGTTAATTGAAAGCTTCTTCCTCCTTGTCAAGTAAACTTCTTCACTCTCCACTCCATAATATCAACTTCATTCTACACAATTAGAAAGAACAAATTAGACATGTCTCCACAAACATAAAGAAGATTAGTTGTTTAATAAAGATATATTGCTTAGAATATTAAATATACACGAAAAATTAATTATATGGGTGTGGGCGGGTATCCATGGAGCGGGTATACCTAAACCCAAACTCAACCAGTGAATAGTGTAGCGGGTTTAAACCCAAACCCGGCCCAAAACCCGTCAGCACGGGTTTTACCCGCGTTGATCGGGTTGGGTCGGGTAGGATACCCGTGGGTTCGGGTTTTGTTGTCATCCCTAGTTCTAAACGATATATGGTCCAGACCAAATTGTGGGATCTAGTTTGGTCCACTGTTTTTTCAAACGATCTGATCAATTTTTTCAGCCCTAATATCAGTTCCTTTTGTAACCGAGATGTCTTACGTTCGAATCCCGATAACCACATTTGTTAAGTACATGTTATTCCGAACATCAAACCCATATTTAAAGAGACTTTACAATTAAGGATCTGAACCGAACAAGGTGTTTGACATCTCGCCCTTATTATACATTTTAACCTTAACACTCATCCATAACCAGTCCTACATAACACAGAGCTCATAATCATCAGTCTACTTCAGAATTTACTGAGAGTGTGTCCTAGAATGTCATTCCAACCACATGAAAATTGTTCATGATAAATAGTTTTCGTTGCTTCTTTTTGTGTGTCTTCCATCAACGTTGGATTCTTGACAGAGTCAACAAGTACTATTGAGATCATGAATCTTATCAACACCGCAAAAACCATCACATGATGATCCAATGACACCTGAGCCATAAAAAACCCATCTTCCAATAGCAGTGCATCAGTTATCTGTATAGTTAAGTTAACATCACCGATGAAAAGCTCCACCGTCGTCCCACCCACGCAATAGTTTCTGAATCGTCGGCCGGGCAGGCAATGAGGGGAACTGGGAGAGGAATCTGGGCCTCATGATATTATGCAGAGGATGGATCACAGCCCTTGATCATGACATGTCAGCATGTGCACTGTATCAATCAGACGGCAAACATCAACCAAAGTCGAACTAGTACACTCCTAGTAGCTTCCCTCACATGGGAAAGTGGTGGTGGTGGCTGGTGGGCAAGAACTCTCTCTGGCTAATACTGCAGCCTCCTTCCACCGGCCTGGCAGCACTGGTTCTGGTCCAATCTTTATCAGTGCTCATGATCTGTGGTGAATAATTAAGCAGCCTGTCCATCTTTCCCCCCCCCCCCCTCCTTCTTGATAAGTTGCTTTCATCCTGGAGTTGGTACTTGTGACTGTTCCAGACTCCTCTTCAGTGATTGTGACCTCAAAAACTACCTCTCTCTCTCTCTCTCTCTCTCTCTCTCTCTCTCTCTCTCTCTCTCTCTCTCTCTCTCTCTCTCTCTCTCTCTCTCTCTCTCTCTCTCTCTCTCTCTCTCTCTCTCTCGATTACTCGTATTATCAAGAAAAAAGAGTTACGTTAGAGTCATATATGACTGATCACAGTCAAGAACGAAAATCGAATCCTAGGCCAACAAGACCGAGGTGGAAAACAAAGTGGCTTAAGAAACAACCCAATTTCTGGCATTCCAAATGCATTAGAAAACAACTATCAAGTTCATTATCAACACAACCAAGAGGGAAGGAATCATGAATATCAGCTAGGCTAGATGCCTCGCAAAGATCCTTGCATGGCAAGGAACTCGAAACTATTGTTTACCTAATCCTCGTCAAGTGGTGGCGTGTTTGAATTTGCACGACACCCAATATAACATTTGATTTCAGCACAAACTGTGATGGGTCTGTACAAACTTCAAGCCCGTGAGTTGACTTTCATTTGATAGAACGTGTAAGAGAGTGTTATAAGATCCATAATTAACATTCTCTAAAAAACTCGAGTTATTGGGATAAACTGTTTCTTTATATGACATCAGAGTCTGTTTGTATCCCAATGACCTCCATATGTTTTGTTAAGAACATGATATTATGAGTTAGGCTTTCATTTTTTTGGGGAGGGGTTGGTAAATAATATATTATCTAATATAATTAGATCATATATTATTTACCAACCCCCTCCCCCAACTAATTAGATCATATATTATTTACCAACCCCCTCCCAAAAAAATGAAAGCCTAACTCATAATTTGAATGGATAACTAGGATGAGTTTTGCTATTTCTATTTTGAACCATTATTTACTATCTCTGACATATTGCTAATTTTTTTAAAAGTCCATTACTTGTAAGTGGTTGTTTAATGTATTATATCGATTAGCTTTCGAAGGCGGTAACCAATCTGTCTCACATGCCAGTCCGTCTATCTCTATGTCTCGGACACATGAATCATCTCATCACTAAGCTAAACTTATCCCTAAGGAGAAGTGGTGGCATCGGGGGGAGTGAATCTTGTCCCGGTTGTATCCCCATTGGTGTATCGCTTAGTCGTAGAAGGTGAACCGCTTTCTTTTTTTGAAATTCTTCTCTCTTTCCAATCAATCGGCTAAGCATTCTAAGTGGCCGAAGTTGTAGGGTCCCTCTTTTTTGAGGTAGTTTCCCTCTTACCCCGACACGGATTTTGCCTTCTGCACCAAACTCTGGTATGTTCTTTGCCTACCCCATCGGCCTTGGCTAGCTAAGATCCCATATCTACCAGTCTACGGGATTGGGCTTTACTTGACCTTTAGAAAATATCTTCTCGTGATGCCTTCTTGGACATATTAAAGTCTAGAAAAACATATATTTCGAACAGACCAATAGATTAGTTAGGAATAAGGGGAGTACTCTGACTAAGACTGCACGGTTTGTCAATAAATCATGAATCATTCACCTACTCTAAACTAAATATTTATCAATAAAACATTCTTTTGCTTTCTTTCTTGTGAAATAGATTATGGATATCAAGATTTGAGCTAACAGATGAACCATCAAATGCAATCCGACTACGATATAATATACATATATATATAGATCTTGTCGTTATAGACATAACTAATACTACTAGAGTTTTGACACTTGTATCCACATCTATTGAATGGAAGAGATGATAATTGTATAACTACTTGTCACTACATTCATCCGACGAATAAAGTTCACACATGCTAAAAAAATAAACAGGCACCCGTGCTTATTCAACCCTGACTGAAAAGAGGTGACATCTAGATGACACACACAAGAGATGTACTAGAACTACAATTTGGATGCAGGAGATGCCATGCTCACTAGTTCGTGGATAAAGTACCATAAGGTTGCATGATATTTTTGATGCCTCAAACTTGCTTCGAGTTCTACTAGGGAACTTCACTTCACTCTTTACCTAAATGCATGTGCAGCAAAATCAACACCCCAAAAAATTTGCCTAATATTCCTTGTTAAAGAGGTTGTCATGTAGATGTAGAAATTGATGTTGTCCTTGGACCTATTTCGCTTTCAGGTTAGGCCTTGTTGATGAAACAGACTAAACAATGTCCTTTTCTCTAGAATCTATTAGTTTAATGAAAGGCGGGTTTTCGACGAAATATCGACTTTATAGCTCATTTTATAAGAGCTAGTTAAGTTCAGACCGAAAAGCGTTTATGTGTTTGCAAGTAATCAAAAAGATAAAGATAATGATAATGTGATTAGGACGTAATAAAAACCAATTCAATCTATCTTTGAATCGTTGTTGCGTAATCGTATCTGCCTGCACATTTGGGTTTGGTGTCTCCCCTCTATATAAACCCCTCCAACTCCTAGCCTTTCAAGGCTCTACACAAATTGAGTTCATTCAAAGAGAGAGAGAGAGAGAGAGAGAGAGAGAGAGAGTGTGTGTGAAGGGTAGAGATCAGGCTAATTAGGGAATAAGAGAGAAAAAAGAGGAAGGATGTCTATGGTCCTTGCAAGCTACCTCCTTTGTGCCATTTTCTTGCTAGTACTCCTGAGAATCCTCAGGAGGAAATTTCCAGTGTACTCAAAACCAAACCTGCCACCTGGCTCAATGGGTTGGCCTTTCCTAGGGGAAACCCTACAACTGTACTCTCACCACCCTGATTCCTTCTTTGCCACCAGACAAGCCAGGTTTGAATATATTTCACTTCATCCACCCACTACTGGTCCCTTCCAAAATCTCCATTCACCATTGTTGGCCTTTACTAATTTCTGAGTCTTTTTGGGTGCTTTAGGTATGGAGAGATATTCAAGACACACATTCTTGGGTGCCCATGTGTCATGCTGGCTAGTCCTGATGCCATAAGGTTTGTGTTGGTGGCACATTCAAGCTTGTTCAAGCCAACTTACCCTCCAAGCAAAGAGAGGCTGATTGGCCCATCAGCTCTCTTCTTCCACCAAGGTGCATACCACTCTCAGATCAAGAAACTGGTTCAGGAATCACTGTCCCTTGATGTCATCAGGCACATGGTTCCTCAAGTTGACTCCATTGCTGTCTCTGCTTTGGAGTCCTGGTCCTCTGCTGGAATTGTCAGCACATTTCACCAAATGAAGGAGGTATGGAGATGGAAATTTCATACTTGATCACCGCTGGTTCTTTATCTTGTTATGTTTACTAGGTTTTCAGGTCTGAAATTTTCCTGTTTGCAATTGCAGTTCACTTTTGATGTTGCTGTTTCTTCCATCTTTGGTCACTTGGGTGCTTGCCACAAGGAGAAGCTGAAGAGGAATTACTTTGTCCTGGACAGAGGATACAATTGCTTTCCACTCAATTTTCCAGGAAGTCTGTACAGGAAATCAGTAATGGTAAGATCATAATTCCACAAACACAAACAAATTCATGTTTATCTTAGGACATTTCATTTTTTTTTTCTTCTTCTTTCTCTCTCAACCTCTTTTGCTTTAGAAAAGTGTCAAAGCAAATATGTTACTTTGAAGAAATCTCTCGAGCTTTCCCTTATCCGAACGGATGTGAACAACAAGAAAATCGAACCAGATAAAATACAATATAATTTTCGTACATGTACCCCTAATTGAACAAAATTTAACTTATTTATTTGGAGTTTGCATAGACTCTTCATACGATGTATTCAAATCTGAACATTACTCGTTACCGAGATCAAAACACATGTCGTGTCAAGAAACCAACTCGTCCCAGTAATCCAAAATTGTTAAGAGATTCCTGAGCATCATAAAGAATTCCTGAAAAACTCTGTTTTCATGCTCATCAGGCCAGGGAAGCACTGAGCAATATTATTCAGGACATAGTGCAACAAAGAAAGGAAGAAACGACGATGCAGAAGAGAGATCTATTGGGATACATGTTGAACTTCAGGGGAGGAGAAAAGGGTGAACCTTTGACTGAGAACCAGATCTCCGACAACATAATTGGAGTTCTGTTTGCAGCTCAGGACACCACCGCCAGCCTCCTGACATGGATTCTCAAGTACCTCCACGACAACTCGGACGTCCTCGAATCCGTTCGGGCAGAGCAGGCAGCAATTTACAGGGCAAATGAAGAAGGGAAGCAGCCATTGACGTGGGCACAGACAAGAAAGATGGTGGTCACCAACAGGGTGATCATGGAGAGCATGAGGATGGCCAGCATAATATCTTTCACTTTCAGGGAAGCTGTTGCAGATGTTGAATACAAAGGTAACACATTTCTCTTCTTTTGCTTGGTTATGTAGATTCTGCTCTGCAGAATTCACAGTCTTGCCCATTTGGGTTTGCTAGACGAGGTTTAGCCCAAATGAAATTGGGACGCCTGTCTCGATTGGGTGGATGTCTCTTTGGTTCTGAACTCAAGTTTGTTTATCAATGTAGCGATCTATGATGATCAATGATGATGATGATGATAAAGCAGGACACAGTTGCAGTGATAAGCATCAACATATGGACAAGACTACAGATTCAAACAGCTTCAGTTTGGGGGACATTCCATGGAATGAGAACATCCACTAAATCCAAACTTTAGGCCAACAACTATCTAAGAAAATTATTTATAGAAAAAACACCAACCAGAGGCACGAGAGAATAATGGCTCTAAATATTTTTTTTTTTTTGAAAAATTTCCTTTTTCCGACCATAGATAAGATGTACAATTAGATCGAGAGGGAGAGAAAACTAACAAAGAGTCATCATGATTCGAAGTCAGCTATAATAATCTGTCGTGAAACTGTTAGGACAGAACATCGTTGGTCATATAAGAAGTTATACTTTGAAAATATGGATGGTTTAGAGAATTAAAACTCGAACTCGGAATTGTGCCGAATTCATGGATTTTTAATCTTTAGGTTATCCAAAGAATATCAACTTGGGAAATCATAATTTCTTTAGAAATATTTTACATGTCAAATCATTGTTGATTACTTTTCCTATCTAAATCATCAATTGTCTAAAAGGGGGAAAAATTGTACAAAAGGCTTTGTGATGTTACCCTTTGTTTGAAAGACTATGTTGAGAGAATTACCCCTGCAAAGTCTCCATCAAATAGGTCTACTCCACCTTTCCTAAACATGGTAACTTTTTAGTCCCTTCGGGGACATCCGATAAAATTGGAACATGGTAATTTTTTAACTCACAGCGTTATAAGTTGAATGAGAAATTCACTCATATGCAACTGGTTATTTTTTTTATGCGTGACAGGATTCTTAATCCCAAAAGGTTGGAAGGTACTTCCATTGTTTCGTAGCCTCCACCATAACCCTGATTTTTTCCCAGAACCTCGACAATTTGACCCCTCAAGATTCCAGGTATATGCACATGCTCATTAATGATCTAGAAACAGTCACTTTTAATCACCGCAGTAAAATGCTCTAAGTTGAACTCTATACCAAAATTCTGCTGACATAATTTACTGTGTGTTGAACGAAAAAAGGCGAGCCCAAGGCCCAACACATTCGTGCCATTTGGGAAGGGAGCCCATTCCTGCCCAGGAAATGAACTTGCCAAGCTAGAGATGTTGATCCTGATTCATCACCTGGTCACCAAGTTCAGGTATCAACCTCTCTAATCCTTCATTGATTCGTCGGTCTGATCGGAAAAATCTTTTGCGTTGCATCATGACACATCGATTTTATGCGAAAACTGACGATTTGGGAATCCTCTGGGTTCTTGGAATTGGTTCTCTGCAGATGGAAAGTTGCAGGAGGTGGTGCTGCTGGTGAATCTTGCAAGAACAAAGAGGTTGAGTACAGGCCATTCCCAATTCCACATGGAGGGCTTCCAGCAAAGTTTTGGAAGGTAGATAGGGATTCTCATGCACAGGCAGACAGGACGTGACAAGAACTGCAAATATTAATTTTCAGACTTGTTCATAATATGTATTGATAATTGTTACCTATATAAAAAAAAATTCAAAGTGGGTTCTTAATTAGATGCATCTAATTAATGTATATGAATTAACGAAATAATTTATAAAGTAAATATTCTAATATCTGTATGTGATATTGCACACGTGTAGGGATGTCAATTTTGACTTGATATATCCTACCGACATATATGGCATATAATGTGACGTCAACTCGCGTTTCAAGATAAATTGTCCAACATCTCAAAGGAATGAGTATGACTGTATGAGTACCATGAAACCCTCCTCCGACCTACTGCTTTGTCATTCTTACGTGTGTGATTAATATTATGATAAAAAAGAATAATAATAAATTTTTATCGTTAATTTATCTAGTGCTTATATACTCTTTTCGATATATTTCGGTCATAAATTTTAACTTCTTCGTATCAGTAGTAAATAAACAGTCTGTAATACATATCTTTTCTTCCAAATTATAAATGAGATATTCCGTTAAATATATGATCTAACAAACCTATAAATTATCAATAATTATTATTTATTAACTTATTAACTAGTAGTTGAACTGATACGTTGTATAACTACCTCCCAATTTAAATCAACAAGCCACCAAATTGAAATTGGCGAACTAGACAACAAGACTCAAAACATGAGGCGGGACTACGGGAGGGAAAACGAAGTGACCTTCCACTTCTAATTCTAGGAAAAAGTTAATCTGCTAACTTGAAAATTCGTTAGCAGATACTAACTGATATCTAAAATACATGAACTAGTATCCAAGTACTAAAGTATCTAGAGATCACATACTAGTATTCAAAGTTTGCTAACTGATATCCACCACGAATCAACTATTATCTCAAATTCACAAACTAATATCTAGACAACACAGAATAGTATCCATACAACACATAATTAGTATCCACATAACACATAAAAGTATCCAAATAACACATAAGAGTATCAATATTGAATACTAGTTGGTTGATTGTGGATATTAGTTTTTTTGCATAAGAGGGAGGCCAAAGCCAAACAGAGAGAGAGATTACAGAAGAGAAGGGGGTTGCGTCACAATTTGACGCATAAGAGAGACACCCATACTATCCTCTCTAAGGATGGGAACCAAAGCAGGAGGAGGTTCGAAAAGTTCATGCATACCAGTGGAATAGACGAGACTGTGCTTCGAGAGCCAGTCCGCGGCTCTATTCCCTTCCCGGTAAACATGCCCCAACCGAACCAACCAGTCCTGAGCTAAGAGTCTCCGTATCGAGGCCAGGAGCGAAGCATAGGGGTGCACCGGATCATGACGATCATTTATCAAACTGATGGCCAACTGAGAGTCTGACTCCACGATAATGAGCGAGCATCCTACTTTCCGGGCAAGTTGAAGACCATACAAAATAGCCCAGAGCTCGGCAAGGGCCGCCGAAGCTTGACCAATCTTAGCAACAAAACCCGCAACCCATTTCCCCAACTCATCTCGGATGATGCCACCAGCACCTGCCAGCCCCGGATTGCCCGCCGATGCACCATCCACATTCAGCTTAAGCCACCCGCTGCGAGGAAAGCACCAATGAATGTGTGCCATCGATCTCTCCGGCCTGGGACCCTGCTTGCCCACGGTAATGGTAGGCGCTTGCCAGGCTTTGTGCCAGATGACGGCTTTCTGCTGGATAGAATGCGCTAAAGAAGGAGCAGACAGAGCCATATGCAAACCTTTGAAACAACCTGTGCACCTGTTCTTCCAAATCAGCCAAATAGCAGTACTGAAAAAAGAATTCCACTGCATACCGGACTCCATCGTGTCGTCTTTGAGAATGTTCACTTGAAACCATTCTTCCTGGCTACTCTGAAAGAAACTCTGTTGATCGGCTTGAGGAACCCATCTCAACCAGCAGAACCGAGCAGGATAGCAGTCTCGCAGAAGATGAGAAATAGATTCTTGGACATACCCACATCTCTGACACATGGGGGAAGCTGCACATTTCCTGGAGAAGCGAAGGGCGTTAGTGGCAATCCGCCCCTGAGCCACAAGCCAGGTGAAGCATCTGATCCTCTCTGCAACCTGAAGCTTCCAAATAGTCTTCCACACCTTCTCACTTGGATCATTCCTCGGAGGGTAGGCCAGCTGATACGCCGAGTTAGTCGTGAAGTGGCCTGTTGAGGAGGCCGTCCAGAAAAGAGTGTCCTCCTCCTGCGTCAAGGGATCTGCAAAACTCGCTGAGATCTTCTGGAGCACTTCAGACGGAAGCCAGTCCTCCAACAGATTGGTGTCCCAAACGCCATTCTCATCAAGATAGGCCGCCACGGGGTCTTCCATCATCTCTGCCGGAATTGGTTGAAGTGCCACCTGCATTAGGGGTACCTGCAACAACCAGACATCACGCCAAAATTTAGTGCCTCTTCCATTGTGAATATTCCACGCACAACCCTTCCGTAAAAGGGTGGAAGCCTTATTAAAGCTCTTCCAAGTGAAGGAACTTCCCTTTACTGGCCGCAGGATATCCAAACCTTCCCGTTGCTTCCCGTACTTCGCTCTCATAACCTGAGTCCAAAGACAATCTTTGTCCTTGAGCATCCTCCATCCTCCTTTTGCAAGAAGAGCCAGATTAGCATGTCGGGTTGACCGGAGACCACCACCACCTTGAGCTCTTGGTTCAGCAAGCTTTTCCCACGACACCAGGTGGATCTTCTCTTTTCCTTCCTCCTTTCCCCAGATGAAATCCCTGTTGATTTTATCTATAGCATTGCAAACATTAACGGGAAGTAATTCAGTTTGCATAGGGTAGGTAGGGATGGATAAAGAGACTGATCTGGTGACCGTCATCCGCGCAGCAAGCGAGAGTCTCCTAGCTTTCCATGGCGCGAGCTTCTTCTTAATCTGCAGCAGGAGGCCTTGGTATCTGCTTTTGGTCACTCTGCCGTGGATTGTCTGAATGCCTAAGTACTTTCCAAGGCTAGCCGCAAGAGGGATGCCTGCCTTGTTACTTAAGCGTTGGGCTCTCGCTGGGCAAATGTTCGGGGACACATAGATGACAGACTTCGTGAAATTGACCCGCTGTCCTGAGCTATCACAGAACTCGTCCAGGCACTGCTTCATAATCCTGACCTGGGAGACCTTTACCTCTGCAAACAAGATCAAATCATCGGCAAAAAACAGGTGCGTTAAAGCCGGGCCGTCCTTCGATAAGCTAATGGGATTCCATAGCTTGTCTCGGACAGCCTTATCAATCCTGTGAGAAAGCCGTTCCATACACAACACAAACAAGTAAGGGGAAAGAGGATCTCCCTGTCTGACTCCACGAGTGGGAGTAATAGGCTGAAGAAGCTCCCCATTCCAGAGAATGCGCATATGGTTCTGTTCAACACAATACATAATGCACCTTATCCAAGAGCTAGGCAGTCCAACCTCGACCAGAGTGTCTCTCAGGAACTCCCAACGCAGCCGATCATAAGCCTTCTCCAGATCAATCTTCACTATCATCCCGCCCTTAGTACCTCTTTTCTTTCTAAGGGAGTGAATGACCTCCTGAACCACCACGATATTATCCATCGTCTGCCGCCCAGGAATGAAGCTGCATTGGCGAGGCGAGACCAGCTTTTTCATCACAACTTTGAGACGGCTCACCATAGCTTTGGTTATGGTCTTCAGGCAGACATTATTCAGGGAGATGGGCCGAAGTTGAGTAACAGACTCTGGCTCTTCCACCTTGGGAATTAAGACAACAGTTGATTCCGAGACCGTCGGAGGCAGGGTTCCATTCTCAAAAAAGGAGATCGCCATATCAGATAACGCCCTTCCAACTACCTTCCAGGCTTGCTGATAGAACACCGCCTGAAAACCATCAGGGCCCGGAGCTTGAAACGGCTTCATATCGAAAATTGCCTTATGAATATCCATTATTGTGAAAGGCCGGAGAAGCTGAAACCAATCTTCTTGTCTGAGCCGAGGGAAACCACCCTTAGGAAGGAGGTCAGAATACAAAGGATTGTCCTGCAGGTACAGTCTGGAGTAAAAGTTAAAAATCAGCCCCGCAAGTTCCTCCTTCTCAGTAACCCAAATCCCATTTTCATCCTTCAGGGCTTCAATCTTATTCCTGCGTCTTCGAATATTGGTGAGTTGATGAAAATAAGCTGTGTTCCTCTCACCGAATTTGACCCAATTCTCTCGAGATCTTTGAAACCACAGGAGCTCTTCCTGCTCCATCGTCTTATCGAGTTCCGCCTCAAGCTTAGAGTGAAGTTTTGCAAGTCCAGAGGAGAAGGAAATAGCCTGCTGCCGTTCGATCCCAGCTATCCGCGCAACCAGCCTTCTTTTCCTCTGAAAAACATTCCCAAAAACCTTCGAGTTCCACTCCTTAAGCTTCCCCGCAAGCTCCTGCAGAGCAACAGGAAAATCAGACTGAGTTTCCCACGAACTATCAATAAAAGAAAGAAAATCAGAGTGGGTGAGCCAAGCAGCCTCGAAATTTATTGTTTGCTGTAGGAATCGAACCTCTGACCTATTGGTCAATGGGAAAGGGTTCAGCAACTTAACCAATATTGTGGATATTAGTTGGTATCTGCTATCTGGATACTAGTTTGTGATGTTTTGAATACTAATCTGTGCTATCTAGATACTCAACAAACTTGGATACATGTTCATACATTTTGGATATTGGTTAGTATATACTAACAACTTATGCAATTAGCAGAATAACTAGGCTGTTACTTCTAGGTGCCTAGCGGTGGAAGAAAAACATAAAGAAGCGGATAAACGGTGACCTACAGTTGGGCCGGGCCAACAGGCCCATTTAATAAGAAGACTTTACTAGCCTAGTTGGTCCGGCCCAATTTCTTCAGCGCGTTGATAATTCCTGTGCTGCGAAAGGTTTGCTTAACGAAGGAAACAAAGACGACGAACGATCATCCTTGTTGGGACATTTGCAGAGCTTCGTGAAAAGCCAGAAAGTCGGTCAGATTTCCATTTCCGCCGGGAAATTTTCGTCTCTCTATTCGCCGTCGGGAACCACTTCCTCCGAAGCCATGGTTTGTTCTTCAAGAGAATCCCCTAACTACTACTGCTCATTCCTTTTCGTTTTCCAGTACGATT